CAAAATCAAAGCTATCTGCAATAGATACTAAAAGGTCAGTGGCATTTAAAATTATAAACATAATCAAGATAATTAACAGAATTTACATGTACTTACTTCAGCCATGGCAACGGAAGTGAACACATAATGTACAACACCATCTGTGTAGAGTGACTGTGCAGAGTCATGTGCTTAATAACCATGAACTTACATTAAAGGAACAGGCCAGCTGCACTGCTTGACACTTAAACAGCCTCCTATTTGTACTCTGTTATCACTGGCACATCAACCCCCACTTGAACTCATTCCATTTTTAACCCTTATCCACCCAGGCACTCAAAGGGGCATTGTTGAGCATAACGGAGAGGCCAGAGTCCACTGCTGCTGTGTTATTACTTCAATCTGCCTTTATCACATGGACAGTGTCAATGAGAACACAACCCAAAATATTCTGAACCCAGGTGTAAGACTGAATAAGAGTCATACTGGAATCGAAAAGTTAACCCGTTTCTCTTTCCAAAGTTGCTACCAGACCTGCTGAGTTTCTCCAGCATTCTCTGTGTTTGTTTCAGATTTCCAGCATCCTTGTATTTTGCCTTTACCCTGGTTTATTGACAAAAGGGAGAGGTGAATTAAAATTTTATTATTATTTTCTCCTTGTCTATCTGCAAGCAGAGGTTTTTTTATAAATTTTTTTCTTGTTTTCCTATTTCCTTTCAAAATAATCTGGGACATCCCACCCCCCAACAAATCCCCTATTAGGGAAGTCAAAATTTTAAATGACCCACAACAAACTCTCTCTAAGGTCACGAAAGGCATGGTTCATTAATGCATTGAGAACTGGTCATTGAATATCACAAGGCACATGTGCAATTTACAAGGAAGAATAAAAGGAATGGAAAGAGGTTACAATTAGGAATAATTTAAAGTTCAAAGTTATAAATGTTAATTCACATTAGTTTTGACTGAGTCCAGAAAGTCCATGATGAGCAAAGGTTCTTTTCCTTGGGCTGATCTTGCAAAATCTCCACATTTAATGAATGGATGTGTTGCAGTGTGGTTGGCCCTCTTTTCAAGTGAATGCAGGATTCCTTCTAGAAATAGGTTTCAAAGAGGTTGAGACTAAAGGCAGGCTCAGCTGAGCCTTGAGTCTGGTCTTCTGTACAGAGAATCTTGCAGGCATTGATGTTAACACCAGACTAGAGTAAAACAGACTGAAATTTATAATTAAACTTTTTTTCCAGAATCTAGGATTTTTTGTCATGTGCTAGAGTTCCTAGATGAGTTATTTTAAGAATGAGGTAGTTTCTGTGCTTTTAGCCCTGACCATTGTTTGATGGTGTGAGATAAATGGTGCCAGCAACTTCAGGCATAATGAGTTTCAATAGCCTCCTCCTTTGTCCAGAACTAGCTGTGGAGGCAGAGGGTCTACTGCTCCTTTGTGTGCCTTTTGATTGCAATTCTTACAAAATGGGAGGTGTGAGATTCCAGAAGGTTCCTGTCTGAGCTCTGTTCTCCACTCTGCAGATTGGCACTTCAAGAAGTTGTGGTCAATTTACAACAATGTTTTCGTCCTGCAAAGTTAATTTTAAAATTTTGAAGAAGAAAGTGCAGATTTTAAAAACAAATTTATGATTTGTCTTCATGCCCTGATGATCTCCAAAGTTCAAATTCAGACAGAACTCCATGAACTGCATCCCATCTCTTACTTTGCCTCATTCATATTGCTGCTGGCACCATCAACTCCATATTTTTTGTCCTGGAACAAATCCTGCCAGAGTTGCATCCCACCTTCACATTAGCAGCCCCTTGTTCCAAGTCGACAGTGCACTCTGCTAATCCTGGCTGACCATAAATTTCATCCCATTCCATCAGTGGTTGTAAAGCAGTCCATATTAGCCCCATTCCCTGCAAATGTTTGCCACTGACACTTCCTTTTCTCCCTCCTCCTTCTCCCCTTTATGCCCTTCCTTACAATCTTTGTCTTTGACTATGTCTTTGGTCATAAGCCTGAATTCTCCTCTTACTGCCATTCAAGGCCATTCTACAATCAATCACCCCTCAACTACCATTATCATGAAGGGGCTCAAAAATGTTTGGTACACTAAGCTTTCTCGTGAAAACACAAATTGTTGTAAATATTTAAAATCTGGGCTGAAAAATCATTCTTCAAGGTGCAGTCTAAATATGTTTTTGGAAAATATTTCCTTCAACAGATGTGTAAGATTCAGGAGGAAGATTTATTTTCCTTCTTCTTGACAATTTTCTCCTTCAAACAACATCATCAAAACCTGTCCACATTTTTGTGGGACCTGGTTGTATGAAGATTAGATTTTGTGTTTGCATCTTCAATTCAAGAATAATTAATTGGTTATAAACAACCTGGCATGCTCTGTATTTTATAGTAAGACAGTACAGAAAGAGTCCAAGTCTTCCAAGGAGTGGCTGACAGTTCTACTTTATTGCATTAGGACTGAGCTCACATTTTCTGCGAGCAATTCTAATCCTGGCTTCTTCAGAAATGAGGGCTATGTTTGAAATCTACCTGTCCCCTTTTTGAGCAGGATTGTCAGGGGAAATCATCCAAGTCCCCTTTTTAAGGCAGTAGACACCATATTCTGAGATAACAAGGTGTAGAGCTGGATGAACACAGCAGGCCAAGCAGCATCAAAGGAGCAGGAAGGCTGACATTTCGGGCCTAGATCCTTCTTCAGAAATGGGGGAGGGGAAGGAGGTTCTGAAATAAATAGGGAGAGAGGGGGAGGCGGATAGAAGATGGATAGAGGAGAAGATAGGTGGAGAGGAGACAGTCAGGTCAAAGAGGCGGTGATGGAGCCAGTAAAGGTGAGTGTAGGTGGGGAGTTAGGGAGGAGGTAGGTCAGTCCAGGGAGGACGGAAAGGTCAATGGGGTGGGATGAGGTTGGTAGGTAGGAGATG